TTAAGATGTAATTAACTATAGGGGCTTGCCTCTATAGGGAACCAGGAACCCAATAAAATAAACCCTATTTAATTTTTTTTTATGTTAGATAGGGGAACTTGTTGGCCTTTTTATAAAAATATTTCGCAGATCAAAACGGATGTCACAAATTGTTTAGTCTAGATGATTAAATCCCTATTACAAGTAATATATTTATTCTTCGGGATAAGTGTATTGCTTGTAGTATTATATTAAATCATCTAAACTATTTAAAAATGTGAGACTCGTTTGGTCTCACTTATTTTAAAAATTAAAAAAACATTACTACTTTAAAAAAGTTATATTTATACTTAAATTATTTTCAAAATCACAAAATCAGCACCGTTTCCAAACTACGAAAGTGAAGTTGAACAATAAAAAAGGCCGACAATCTCTCGAGCACACAAGTTCGTTTTACGTTTACAGCACTTCATTTTCCTGTTTATACCCGCTACTGTTCTGTACAGCATGTTATATTATTCCTGTTTCTACCTGCTACTGTTCTGTACAGCATGTTATACTGTTCCTTCTACTATACCTGTTACTGTCATGTATGACATGTATACTGTTTCTTTTATTGTGTTTTCTATTGTTTGTCCTGTAATGCACATTTTATATTGTATAGCCTTAAGCATGCCTTCTTTTCATATAGGATGTTTAGAGGACTATTATCATAGGGTATAGGGTCGTTTGATTTGACATCATAACTGAATACCCTATAAAAGTAAAACTCGTCAAGACAAGGAGCTTGGAACTAGCGCGGCGCGCAGCACGACCATCTTCACGCAGCACGACCATCTTCAATAGCAAAACATGTCTTCCCCAGCTAAATCATTCCTTTCCTAGAAATTAAAATAACAATCCATAGGATTTTGAGGTTGTTCGCCTAATGCAACATAATGCAACATAAATCCGCCTAATGCAACATAAATCCTCAACCTTTTCGTTAGGCATTTGTATAGCTTTGTTGTACGATCTAAGTCCTAACTCGTTTTAGGATTGTGAGGTTGTCGTTCGTTACGACCTAAATCCTTACATCTTCCGGGCAAATTATGTGATCATTTCACACGAATGTAAGCTCTAATTAAAAAAAATTGGCAAGATGAAACATTTGAATAATTTTTCCTCAAAACTAAAGTCAAACCATAGGGTAGACTAGGAAGCCACCGAAGATCTCCTCTGGATCTGTGGCATCCCTAGCTCTTCCTCCTTTGGATGCTACAATAAATGTTTCAAGTTTGAACTATTCCCTTTTACACACTTTTTTGTCTGATTTCTTTGAAAAGTCTTATCCTTTTGAAGTCCTTCAAAATAATTTTTTTCTGATTTTTATCGAGAGTATTCTTAAGTAACTTCAGTCATTTAAGATGTAATTAACTATAGGGGTTTGCCCTTATAGGAAGCTTTTCCGAACCCAGCTTAAAATAAACCCTATTTAATTTTTCATATTAAATATGGGAATTTGTCGGCAAATAAAATGGTTTCGCAGACCAAACGGACGTCATATATATCTTAATTTATTTGATCGAGTCTCATCCTCAAGTCTTGTATTTATCTCTCGGGATAGATACAGGGTTTGAGGTAAAGCGTCCTTTCATTTAAACTATGAAAAATATGGGGTCAGTTTGATTTTCATATTTGATTTTAAATTTAAATCTATATGTAAATTAAAACGTCTTTCCGAAGCGGGCGACGGGATTTCGATTCCGGTGACCGACAGCTTCTTACGGGCAACAACAACCCCCAACACATTTTATCGCCGACAAGAGCCCACAAACCTAATCAATTTGTATGTATTGGGTTGAGGGCGAGATACATAAGGAGTGGATGCTCGTTCACCCCATTTTCTCCTCTGGAACGCAATCGCACCAACCTTCAATTATAGCTTTGTTATTTTTGTTTGCTTAGCTTTATTTGTTTTCCTTTATTTGATTGTGTTTACTCTTTTAATGTTTGCATGATTAGAATTTGCATGCTCTTTCTAGGTCTGTTGGTGATTTGTGCTTGACCTAAATTTTTTGCAATTTTGGCATGCTAATATATTTTCTACCCAACCTAACAATTTAAATAAAATCAATTAAGAATTCAAAACAAAATCAATCAAAATCCTTGAGAGACAATCAATAAAATTCATTAGAAAACTTAGAAATAACAAAATCATATGCATTGCATACTACATTCTTTTTTAGGCACTTCACCCATTACATGTAAAGAAGAATTTGAGCAGTGAGGATAATTGTCTTTCCTCGAAAAATCTGCCTAAATTTTATTTAGATGTTAACTCTGAATTTAATGCATACATACATATATTGTTGCATACCTATTGGCATTCAAAATAAATCAAGAAAAATAAATAAATAATTATAAAAAATAATATATTGCATTAGTTCAAAGCATTGCACATCATCATACTTAGCTTGATTCTAGTAATCGAGTTATAAGATATATTTTTTCCTAATAAACAATAGTACAGCCTATATTACATTTAATTTGACTAGATCATATGATTTTGAGACGACTATATGGGTTTAGATGCTAAAAATTCTTTCCAGGTATGATTATATGTCCAATAGAGTCTGACTTATTTCCATCCTAAATAGGATTGAACACTACAAATCAATGATATTTTGTTAAACTAGGTTTGAGACCCTATAGAATAGTAGATTTGACCATAAGTTTAAGTTCTGAAGTAGATTGTTTCACTTCACCTCCTAGGTATTTCTTCGACACATTATGTTGTTACAATAGAAGTCCTAACATTCTCATAAATCGAATAACTCTAATAAAATTAAATCTTAAATTCAAAAATGTAAATTCCAACCATAAGAATGTTGGAGTGCTACATAACTTCTCAGTATCTGAGCATTTACTACATTTTCTTTTGGATTCTAAAAAGAACAACTCCAATTTGATCATTTTTGGTTGTAATTCAAATTAACAATCTTTAAAATCAAGCTTTAAAATTTATAGGGATGTTATCGTACTCATGCACATTAAATAGTAAATGAAATGATAAACGTGTATCTTTATGGTACAAATGATAAATGTGTATATTTGTAATAGAAATGATAAATGTGTGTCTTTATGGTACAACATAATAAGGGTTTTGATGGTGCTCTTAAGATAACTCCATAAAAGAAAAAAATAATGAAAGAAAAATTGTAAAAGATTAAAAATGATAAAAATATAATTGATTAAGATAATAAATAATTTTCTAAAATGAAAAATGTGAAAATTACTTTAAAGTTGATCAGCATGCCATTTGAATCATCATTTTAGGCATTTGCATAAAAAGTTAATACACAGTAGATAGCAATTATTCACCAAGTTTCTTAAAATTTAATTTGTTCTTTAAATATCATTTTTAGGAAGATTTACTAGATTGATATGTCTAATAAAAGAGGATTGTTTTATACGAGGAGAGAAACTGTGCATGATAGCAGAGTTTGTTTTTATGTTATGTTGCTTTTACTGTAAAACTTGGCATGATATAGTCCTTTATGGCCAAAACTCACTCACAATAATCTCTGTACATTCTCTAATACATCCTCAGTCTTCAAGCTCACTTTAAGCTTAGTTTGCTTCTCTCATTCTCCATTCTCTATCTAAGAGGTCAACTAGGCCTACTATAATCCAAAGTCATTTAAGACTCCCTCTCTCTCTCTCTCTCTTTGTTCCAATGGGCTTCATCTATATCTATAGTATTGTTACTTTCCAAATAGAATATTAGATTCAACAAAATGCATATGCATAGAAATACATTATATATATATATATATATATATAGAGAGAGAGAGAGAGAGAGAGAGAGATTAAAACACTGCCCTATCTGTTTCCCTTCTATCTTTTTTTTAGATTGCTTTTTGTTAAAATTATTCTAAGTTCATCTGTGAGTCAGTTATAAATTATTTAGAGAAACATTTGTTTGTGCATGTTATTGGTCAAAGGCCGATGGGCGCAATGCGGAGCCCATTGGATCTTAACAGTTTGAAAATAAATAAAATTTTGAGAGAGCATGGAGAAAGCAACTATGTACTGGAACGTATTGTGGTTGCTGCTACCTTCTGTCGCTTCATAGGAAATGCTGCATATGTCAAATTATCTCTCCTAGGGATCCTCTTCTTATGTCGAGGTAAGTGGAAGATCGATGCCAGGGGAAGCAAGCAAGAGCTGTCCAATGATAGAGCTGGTTCAGATATGCCTCTTTGCCCTTCATTTACCATTGATAAATCAGATCTATGGTCAGGATGCTTTGTAGTTTCTTCCTGTTCAAGAAAAACAAACAAGTCCAATGTCAAACCTCATGAAAATAAGGAAATTAACTTGAAAATAAATCATAGTTAATACATGACAGCTTAGTTTGACAACTACAGAAGAACTGCATAACAGGAAGAAATAAATATTCAAGTCCATCAAGGTCAAGTAATTTGAGCATTGAAAGCAAAGTAAGAAGTTAGTTGGTAATGCAAGTATGGTGGAGTTCAGCTGAAGATATCCTTATTCCATTGAGCTTAAGAGAGTGCATCCGCATTCTCCCAAATAAAACACATTAATAAGTATAGTTGAGTCATTCACTAACTTGCCGCTAAATGAGTACAGGCAATTATCATTAAGCTTTATACAAAATATATGCGAGGGAGTATAAACTAAAAATATATAAAAAATAAAATAATTACCAGATTTAATTTTAACAGAGAAAGTAAGATTAGTATTTCTTTCGATGAGTATATTGCCAAAAATTCAAATATTTTACACCATTCAACCAAGAAACATAAATATATTTCAAAAAAGAAGAACTGAAAGATCTAGAAATGCAGACATTAGCATAGACAATTGCAGATAACTTCAAGCACTTTTCCATTATTTGAGGCTAATCTTATTATTTAAAACCAATATTGCTTGTGGACAGAACTTTTTGCTACTTTTATCAATTAAGCAATGATATAGGTTGGCTTACACGAATGGTTTAATTAAAAATATTCATAGATTGTAAAATTCAAGCATGCGGTGGTAACAATAATCAATTTCAAATTTCTTTTTTAGGGATGTTATTCAGAATGACCACAAATAATACTCTTTAAAAAAACTAAAGACAAATATTCTGGATGTTTGCATGTTTGCCGGATTGAAACGAAAATATGTCCCATGCTACATTCATACTCAAAAGCCTAATAACTGGTTTCACAAGAATCAGGTTTTTAGGGACTACAGCAACAACAACAATCCTTTATCCCACTAAATGGGTTCAATCAGGTTTTAGGGACTGTGTGAATTTAAATGTAATAGAAACGGAAATGAATTTGATAGAACGGTTGAAAATAATGAAAAAAAACAAATAATCTGGAACCTGAGATTGAACGCTTGTAAATAACAGAGAAATCATCGATGTGAAATAACCTTTTTCATCTTAATGGCAGCATATCTTGTATTCTTAAACCACTTGTCAATCTGTAGCATGAGTAATAAATAAAATGCATCATATTTCTGCAGGCATCCCGACGAAATTTGAAAGAAAATAGTTGAATCTAATCAATCATCAGAGCCAAACCAACTCTGATTACTTGCATTGTATTCCAAAAAAAAAAAGGTTATAATCCATTTCCATGACATCTGCAAAAACTAGAATAGATTATGCTAATGTTGAAATTAAATAAAAATAGAAAAAACAATGTACATATCTTCCAAATACTCCTTACTAAAAGTCTAATACCCAAGCAAAAGAAGAAAGAATTAGCAAACCTTTGCCGCACTCAAATCATTGAGAAAGCAAAAAATTCCAATTGTAATTTTGTTTATACTCTTCAAAATTAACTGGGACATTGTAAATAGAAGTAATTGGTGTTAGTTTTGTAAACAAACAACATTTTGAGTGTTGCACAGAAATGTTTTCCAATAAAGTAATAAAGAACTAAGATTTTGAGTTCTGTTAAAAAATCCCAATTTAACTGAAGAATATGGGTACAAAAATGACTTGGCTTTGCCTCATGTTGGTTTCATCATATTGACATAATATAAAGCTATAAAGCCTCTTACATCACTTGGTCCAAAGCTTCAGCAGCTAATGAAGAAATTTTGGATTCACGATTACTTTCAACTTCATGAAAAACATTAGATAAATGACTCAAATGAGGAAAGAAATCCATGAACTTACGATAACTCAAAAGGGGAAAAGCAAGTAAAAAATGTTGGTACCTTCTCAACTGATATTCCCAATTGCTTTGAAAGGTTCTCCTTGACAGGCCTAGAAGGAAGTTCATTTTCATGGAAAATTTGTCGAAGTTTCTGGTAAGAGCAAAAATGCATTAAAGCACTAAAACCAGCTTATCAACATAGATGTAAATTCTTATAACAATACTTGCAGGTTTCTAAACATAGTTGCCTACATTTGTTAAAGAACTGACAAGAAGCACGAACTTAAAAGTAACACTATTTTTGTGCAATATTGTAATAAATCATTGACGCAATGGAGAAAAAGGATTCATGTAGCCGACCCCACGTAGTGGGATTAAGGCTTTGTTGTTGTTGTTGTATTGTAATAAATCATTTATTTCCATACACCACCGAAAGATTGCACTACAATGAATATTATGTTTAGAAGGATAGTGAGAAAAAGGGTAACGGCCATAAGGTCCCAATGTTTCTCTGCCCTCAATCCCATTTAACAGCTCTAATGAAAAAATAATAATAATATAAACAAAAAAAAGCAGCAAAAGTGCAAGAATAGTGATACTAGAGTTACTCAAGGAAAAATAAATATTATTACTTGAAGCAAATAAGTGGTTACAAGACCACAAAGAAAAGGAAATACAACAAAAATCGCACAACACAGACACCCAAGTAGGGTTTGTTCACGGCGGAAGGAAGAATGCAGTAAGGTGCTGAGGTTGGAGAAAGGAGGTAGATAGGGTGGTTTGGTGACAAAGGACATCAGATGGGAGGACTGCAGCAAGGAGACAGCAGATGGGGAGGGCCAGCGGCAAGGAGACAACAGCTGGAAAGGGCTGGTGGCAAAAAGACAACAGCTGGAAAGGGCTGGCGGCACGAAGATGGCAGCTAGGAGGGCTGGCGGCAAGGAGAGCAGCTGAGAGAGATGGCCTGCTGGAGGGAAACAAAAGGGAGGCGGTGTCCAAGTGATGGCAGCAACCACGAAGACAACTAAAACAAGCTGTAGGCAAAAGAAACATTGCCGGAGAAGGGAAATCGCAGATAAACATTCCCGCAGTATCGAACTACAGCTGGAGCACCACTAGAATCCTTGGGAGACGGTCACCACCTCGGATGAGTTACAACCATAACACCTTCTCCTTTTTAGATACAGCCCTAGAAGAAAAACATCGGCAGCCTACAAATTTCATGAACAAAAAACATACAAAAAACTGACCTAAACATGCAGAAATAACAAATATATAATCCTAGGGTCAAGAGGATTGGGCCCCACTCCGAATAGGAAGGAAATCCATGAAGAGGAGTGCCAACCGATCCAAACCGTGAAAGCTCCCGACATTGTAGTAGGGATCCCAGATGGTGCCTCTACGGAATGGCTCCAGCAACAGACTTTTGGAGTTGAGGGAGCTTCAACCTCATCCATTGAAGCTTCTATTTGCACGTTGAATTGTTGTAATCCCCCAGAGTTGAATGGTCTTCGATTGCGTTGATATGAGAATCAGGATCCCACCACCGGTGGCACTAATTCCAAAAATACTTAAGGAGCTTTCCTCACTTGCAAGCAGTGATTCATATCAATCCATCTTTACTGAATTGAATTGGGTATGCATGTCACATATATATTGTTGAATCCTCCCAAAGCAACCTTAGGTAGACTCAACCTGATTTAAAGTAATCGCAACCAAAATCTCCCCGAACGGTGGCAACTCTAGCGGTAAACTATCAATCAGAATGTCCTAAAACTTCCTTTATACGGGATGCTTTGTGTCTACGACCGGCTCTTCTATCTCGCAGTCCTTTGTCAACACCAATATCGATCCTCCTCAGATTTCTCTACTAGCATAAGCACCCAAAACCTCAAACACTGCAGAAAGTAAGAGAATGATATGTTTTCCATCATCCGTGAATGAGCAGGTGTTCATGTACCTATCATGTTGGGTCGATGATCATACAATCATGGTCTCCCTAACAAAAGATGATCATATCGCACTAAACCTGATCTTGCAGCTTACTTCCAATCGAAAATTTTACGAGACACCTCCTATTAATGACAACACTTTTTTTTGTCAGCCATATTAGGGAATACGGTTGAGAATGTCTCTAATTCATGAGACTCAATTTATTCACCATCTATGTAGATTTCATGTTATTACTGTTCCTTACATCAATGATGATACTGCATACCCTTCTTTTCATAGTGCAACTGGTGTAGAATATGTTGTGGTGAAACCACTGTTATTCCCTCGTATCCTCGGTTTGTAGGACAAGTTGAACCACGAGCATCTCATCCTAATTCGATGGATGATGGTACTCCTCACATTGTTCTTCAGCTGCATCTTTTTCGCTAACTTCTTTCACTGCACCCTACTCGGTGAATGACAGAACTCGATTAGTCAGACAATTGAAAGCGAGTGCCGATCCCATGGCATCTGAAACATTTCCCATAAGAAACTGTAGTGTGTTTGCTACTCTTTTCAGGTTTTTTCTCTCTCGGAGTGGCTATCCTACTCTTGACTAATCTCCTTCACTTCCTAATGTGTGGTCCTCCTGAGGTCTCCAACAGTGGGTGGTTGTCTGACAGGCGGTGGTTGTTTGCTTTTCTTTTGTTGTCTCTCCACTTTCAATGCTAAAGTCTGTCCATCCCTCAGTATCCAATAAGGTTGCAGCTAGCCACATTACTGATGGCAGGCTTTAGGCCTCCAAAGTACCTGGCCATGGTGTGCTCCTCTGCCTCCTTCAACTCACACTTCAGCTTAAGCTACATAAATTCTGACATGTACTCCACTGATAACTCCTGCTGAAGTTAGTGGAGCTTCAAGAAATATATTGACGGTAGTACGCGAGTAGGTACTGTCGTTGTATCTCCCGTTTTATCTTCTCTCAAGAAGTGATTTTGTCCCGCCCTCCTGTCAATTTCTCCCTCTTCAGATTTTCTCACTGCAGAGATGCATTCTTCCTCAATTTAATGGAGGTGAGCTTCACTTTTATATCATCAGGACCTTTTTGTATTCAAAGATCTGCTCAACTATTTGTATCCACTAGAGAAAATCATTTGGATCTATTCTCCCCTCGAGAATTGGTAGGTCTACCTTCATTCCCAGATCTTCATAACCTCCAATAGGCATGTCATCTCTTCAAAGATGCATTCTTCTTCAATTTAATGGAGGCAAGCTTCACTCTTATATCATCAGGACCTTTTTGTATTCAAAGATCCGCTCAACTGTCTGTATCCACTCAAGAAAATCATTTGGATATATTCTCCCCTCGAGATTTGGTAGGTCCACCTTCATTCCTAGATCTTTATATCCTCCAATAGGCACGTCATCTCTGCATCTTCTAATAGGCACTCCATCTTTGTATTCTCTAACGGACACTGTCATTCCCTAAACCAGTTGAACCACGAGCATGTCAACCTCATTCGGTGCAAGATGGTACTTCTCACAATATTCTCCAGCTGCCTCTTCATCGTTAACTTCATCCACTGCACCCTGCTCAGTGAAGAACACAACTCGGCTCGTCGAGCAACTATAAGCGATGTATCCAAACCCATGCCATCTAAAATATTTCCTGACTAGGACTATAGTGGATGTTTTACACTTTTCAAGCTTCTTCAAACTCAGAGTAGCTATGTCCTGCTCCTAACCAATCTGCTCCACTCCCTGAGGTGTGGTCCTCCCGAGGTCTCCAATTATGGGTGGTGATCTAACTGGCTGTGGTTGCTTGCTTTGCTTTTGTTATCTCTCTATTTTCAGTGCTAAATTTTGCACGTCCATGTGTCCAATAAGGTTGCAGTTGGACCACATTACTGATGACAAGCTTTAGACCTCTAAGTAACCGTCCATGGTGTGCTCATCTGACTCCTTCGACTCACACTTCAAGTTAAGCTGCATAAATTTTGTAGTGTACTCCACTGGTAGCTCCTACTACAGGTAGTGGAGCTTCAAGAAAATATCTCAACGATAGTGTTGGGTAAGCATTGTCGTTGCCTCTTCAGGTTATACCATCACAAAGACATATTCTTCTTTAGTGTAATGGCGGAGACCTTCATTCTTATATCATCAGGCATCTCTTTGTATTTAAGGTTAAGCTAGCAGCGTTTTCTATTTTGGTTTTAAAAAATTTTGGTCAGCAAAGAATATGAAAGGTGTGATTAATGCATATAGTTGTAATATAGTGCATGTAAATCAACATAAATGCTTGCATTATGATATCCCACAGAAATGAAAATCTTAATCCTCAATCTATTCGAGATTCGATGGATTACTAAAAACTCTAAGGAAACCTATGCAAAACAAATATAAAGAAAACACCCTCATTTTGATTTGAAGGTGGGAATTATGAAGGAAAGGTCCAAATAATGGGATACATGATAACTAAGAAGTTTAGCTCTCACATTACCTAGAGCATAATCTAGAAAGGAAGGAAACAAGCTATTGGATCATTAACTGGTTCTGTCTCGCTTTGCTCTCCCTTTACTCACCGCAACAATCCTCTAACAACTTAGATAACAACCAATTATATCCGCTAGTGAAGAGTTCAAAGCCACTCCCTTTGGGACAGCTTTCTACATGCTTTACTTTTCAGACTGCCAACACAGTTTTGTTCGAGGAACTGCTTTTTAGAAATTTTTGTGGTAGAAATTTGTTTTTTTCAACTTAAACTCTTAAAATGTGGTGGTTGCCAGAAAACAACAATCTGACTTTTTGAAAATAAAATAAGTTTATAATAGTCATCGCAGCTTTTTAAAAAGAAATTTCTTTCCCAGTAGCTTCATAGTTGTAGCTGTCCGAAACAGACCCCCAATCTTTGCTAAAAGCCAAAAAAAATTGTCAACACGCTTAGTTTTAGTCTTTGACCTAATCTTTAGCAACATTCCAGACACAGCATCTTCCATTGACCAGTCCATCAAAGAGAAAAAAATGAAATCTACTGTAAGAAATACCCATAGATTAGAATTACAATCCACATAAAAATAATTCGTAGATTTCAACCATAATAATATTTTTCATTCTTCTATCCATCTAAGCCAAGTTGCAATTAAAAATATAGGAAAGTGTCAATTCGCATTAGGAAGGAATTTATTTCCTTTCTTTAGAATATATTTCACTAATTATATT